CACACTCATACATACCCAGAGAAAACTCATCCGACTCGCCAAGTTGTTCTTCAACTCGTCGAGTCTTATGACGATCTTCATCGGACTCGCTGAGTTTTTCATCCAACTCATCGAGTTCACAGCCATCTTCATGTGACTCGCTGAGTCAACCTTGCGAATCACTGAGTCCATTCAGTCCTCTTTCCATACTGACTTGTTTTGAGCCATGCAACGACTCCAAATCACGGATCCAAGCTTCCAGGGCATGCTTATCACATAAAGTTGCAAACTTTACGTGCATGCATGGCCTTAAAGGCTCCAAATGCCAAATCCAATTTCTTAATGGGGCTTCATGCCCAAGAGGGACCTCAATCACAACTAAAACTGTGACTTTATGCTTCTAAAATCCAAGAAGGGTCTAGATTTGAAGTTACAACTTCAAATCTAACCCATAGCTCATCATACCAACTTGAAAATCCATAAAAAGCCCTAGAAACTCAACAAAAGGGAAAAGGGAAGTAAGGATGGCACTTTGAGACCTCCAAAGGATGCTAGCTGAGATAAATCCTTCTTCCTACTCCTTCCTTGCTTCAATTCCTTTGCACTCCTAGCTTTCTTCCTCCAAGATTCTCTTTCTAAGCTTCAAACACCACACAAAGGCACTCACACATGTATAAGCACTCTCAAGACTCTCTAGATCTGTAAAAAGACCCAAGGGAGGCTGAGGTCCCTTTAAATAGATGTGCAAACCCCAGGATTTAGGGTTTCCTCTACCAGCTCCTACTCGCCGAGTCCCAATATGGACTCATCGAGTAGGTCACTTAACATGCGATCCCATCCAGCTGCTACTCGACGAGTAGGTCAACCAACTCGTAGAGTAGAGCTTAACCCAATAAATCTTATTTAAGAAATACCTGAGAATCGGGGCGTTACACCTATTTAAAGGCTCTAATCCCTTTGAAGCCTTCCTATGCCCAACATCCACCCTCATTTTACGGTAACCTTGAAACCTTAGCGATCTTGTGAGGATTTTGAAGCATTTGAGTGCTTCATTGTGTGATTTGTGAAGAAGGATGCCATTGAAGGTGTACTTGGGAGTCTATAACTTATAGATCAAGACTCTACTCTTCTTCAACATTCTCAAGAAGGCATAAAGCTTGGACCTTGATGATTCATTTGATAAATGTAGCTAGTTTTGGGTTTTATAAGCTTTTTGTCCCTTGATCTTGGGTCTAGTGAGTATGAGCTACTCCAGACCTCATGAGTGGCATTTGTTTTATCATTTCTGAGCTTGTAGAGTGAAAAAATGAGAGATTGGTCACGCCCATCCTTCTATGCATGAGTATTTGGGCATTGGAGTGTGTTTTAGACATAGGGCTAGGTATTATGCACTTTTAAGCGATGAAAATGCATAAAGTCAGAGACTTTATCACCTAGGATGTTCTTTAAGACTAGATCTGGGAATTGGATGTTTAGTCTTTAAGTATTCTGAGCTTATTAAGAAGTTGGAAAATCAATATAGTATGCGGGGCATAATCTGGGCCACTCATGGTATATCCTGGTTTGTTCCCGTTTCTCGTTATAAGGCTCTACGCAAGGTGTAAATCATAAGTATGTCAAACGTAGCATCAAAAATGAGAAAATTAGACCTTTTGGATTAAGGGTCAAGTGGAGTGGTTTTTTGGCTTGGAAGGGTAAAAGGGTCTTTTAGAGAGAGAGAGAGAGAGAGAGGGAAGGAGAGGGAGATTATAAGCTAAGGATTTTAAGTAGGAATCTTTACCTTAATTTCTAACTATAATCTTACTGTATATATGATTAGTGTGTGAAGTTCCAGTATCAGCCGCTCGAGTCTGAGATTTGTCTATCTTCAGATTGAGATGAATCTTCTCACTGTACTGTGTAAGATGATAGTTGTCTTTATGACTCTGGCATTGTGTGTTGGGCTCGACCTATTTGAATGTTGGATTGGGTCCATTTGTATGATGGGTTGGGCCATTGATATGTGGGGTTGGACCTAATGGTATGAAGGGTTGGGCCTGATATTATGGGTTGGGCCCATTGATATGTTTGGTATGCGGTATTTTGGAGAACTCACTAAGCTTTGTGTTTTAACATTCTCAGATACTTCTAGTTTAAAGGGAATGGTCTGACGTGATCGCACAATATCCCCTCGATTTTATTCTGTTTGTTATTTGATTTCACTCTGATGTTAGGTTATTTATACTATGGTTGATTTGGAACAAATTGGTTGTATTTTTGGTTGTTTGAAAAATGAAATTGTTATCGGTATTTTTGGGACTTTACATGTAAGCTTGCTAACTTACTAATGCATATGCTAAAAATAAGAAATAATTCATTGTACAATAGTTTTATAAGTATTCAGTAATAGAGTTTTGTGAGCTTGATAACTTTTGAACTTCCGTTTCTAATTCTTGAAACTGGATACCTGGTAAGACCGAAACTATAACGAAATTGAAGGATGTTTAGAACCGATAACTGGACCGTTTAAGCCTATTTTGTACCAACCTATTTCGGTTCAATTTTCAGTCAAAGCGCTCATCCCTACACCATATTGTTATGCCAAAGGGAGTTAAATATAAAAATAATAATAACAAATTAAAATATGATGGCACCTTATAAAAACATATCGGTTATAGTTTTGACAAAGCAAACAATGTTCGAACAGCAAGTAAAACGTTTCACATTTTCACTACCATGGATCTATAATTCACTATACCTACACAAACATTCCTTTGATTTAGGATAATTTTTGGTGAGATAAAAAAACTAAACTTGTAAATATAATTATGTAGCATACACTTGTGTAGCAGGAAAATAGTAGTTATAAGAAAAGCATGGAGTAGACATGAATAATGGGACTAACTAAGCAGGTGATTATGGACCATGTTTATGCATAATTTCAAAAATAGTTTTCGGGCGTGTTTGGCATAGAGCTTTTGGAAGCGTTCGGGAGCTCTAACTTTTAGCTTTTGATAAAACGTTCTAATTTAAACAAAAAGCTTCGTTTGGAAGTACGAGCGTTTAGCTTTTAGTTTTAACAAAACGCTCCGATTCTAAAAGCTACTTAATGTAGCGTTTAACAAAACGCTCCTGAGCTTTTGAAATCAATTTCCATAATTACCCTTAAAAATATATTTATATATTTATTTATTTTTAATCAATTGTCCTTTTATATAATTTTATATATTTCAAAAGCTTCCAGCTACTTTTGCCAAACATTTATATAACAAATAAAAGCTACAGCTTCCCGCTACCAGCTATTTGCTACACGCTATCAGCTACCCGCTTCCAGCTAAGAGCTACTTTTGCCAAACATACCCTTCATGCGTGTAAGTCAAGACTTGAAAAGTAAAAATAGAAAAAACGTATTATGAACTTATATAAAGAATAACATTTCTTGTAAGTTGAAAGACTAAGAATATAAGTTATATAAGTAAAACGTATTATGAACTTATATAAAGAATCACATTTTTTATAAGTTGAAAGACTAAGAATATAAGTTATATAAGTAAAACGTATTATAAACTTATATAAAATATCATATTTCTTGTAAGTTGAAAGACTAAGAATATAAGTAATATAAATTGAAAAGGTTTTGGATGTATATTATTAATTATAAAAATATGAAAAAAAGGGAAATTTCAAACGATAGACTCATTTGTAAGTATAATAATAATAATATAATAGTATGAGCGGTTTTCATGTTTCAAAGTTGAGTTACTTTTATGTTAAGCGATCATTTGTAATAGGTTGCCACATGAAACTGGATAGATAAAAAAAAAATAGTGAATAATAGCATTCGACCAAAAAACCTTTTTCCAATGTTTTTATATTATTCTTTGTAAAAAGGATTATTGTATATAATATAAATAAATGATTTATGTAATAAAACGAAAATTAAATAATACAAAACTAGAAAGGTTACCCAGCTACGTGAAGGTCAGAAGCTTTCAATGTTGTTTCCGAATCGATAAATATGACAGACGTAGAAAGTGGAATGATGAAAAGCCCGGGCTTTGCCCCAGACCGTTTTTTTCATGTTTTTATTAAAAAAGATATAAAAGTTTTGACTGCAAGGACCAAAAGTATCAAAAATGGCTAAAGAATTAAAGGGGTGGGAATTAACAACTTTTTAGAAAAAGGATCAAAGTTGTCAAATTGTTAAAGTTTTGTGGCAAAACTTTAAATATTAAAAGGTTCCTAAAAAGCGTGAAAATATAGATTGCAATGACCAAAAATATTAAAATGGCTAAAGAATGAGGAACAAAATTGCCAAAAAAAACTTCAAAATTCACTATTCCTAAGATTCATTTCTTATATATATATATATATATATATATATATATATATATATATATATATATATATATATATATATATATATATATATATATATATATATATTAAATACTAAAAATAATTAATCGATTTATTACATTTTGGTACCGGATAAGATAATCAAAACAGATTTTTAGAATTCTATTTTTACACCAGATAAATTAACGAGTATGTTTACAGAAAAACGATGGTAGTAGGGACGATGACGACGACAACTATTCGATTAATGATAATAAAACAATTTTTTTTGTTCACCTTGATCCTTGAGAGCACCAAAGCAGCTTAGGATTTTGGTAATTTATGTTAATAATTTGAAAAAAAAAAAAAAAAAACTATTTGATTAATGATGCGAATTATAAAACATACTTTTCATGTTCACTCTATACTTTACTAATGATATTTGATGGATTTTTGTCATTTATGTTAATAATTTGGAAAAACAAAAATACACAAGACAAATTGAAATTTTTGTTTTACCAAAGGTCTTTAGTCTAGCCAAAGGTTGAAGAACAAATCAGACGAAAAATTTAGATTTAAGAATAGAGTAGTGGTTGTATATATAAGTGTACTAAAAAAAACTTCAAAAATTCTATTTTTAATAATCAACATGGTTTAATCACTACATATATGGATAATGAAACAAACAAAATATTTTATGTTGTTTTTTTTTTTGGCCCCACATACATTGATTTGATTTTATCAACGAAAAAAAAAAAAAAAAAAATAGACCTTTTGTTCACATCTTCTCAATACACTTATTCAGTTTTTTTTTTTTCCAAATATTTCACAAGTGTAGATAAAGACAAGACTGTACATTCTGCTTCCATTTTACCCTTTGATGGACAAAGGGGAAAAAAACAAAATTAAGAAAGGGTAATAACAGGAGACAAATGTAAAATTATTGCAGGTTTTGGGGATTCCATTCCACTCTCCAGAGGTCATTTCATAACATGTTCCATTTGACCTCTCTGAACTCAAACAAACACCATCAAAGCATCAATCCCACTTTGTCTTCCTTTTATTTTCCCCCCTTTCTCACTTGTCTCCTCTCTGCCATCACTCAATTATGCCTCCCTAAAAACTTTATTATTTATTATTTTTATATTTTTTGTGTTCAAAGTTTATGGTTTTCATAAAAAGTTGAGATAAAAAAGAGCATTCTCTACACGTGGATGACGATTATATTTTGGTCAAGTGACGTGAAATTATAAAAGTAGAAATGAAAAAGTAGATTGTGAGTTGATGACTTTTTTAAGTCTTGAAGTAACAAACGTACATAGAAATGTTTTAGATTACATGGGCTTCGTTTTTAAGTTTGTCGATTAATTCATCAACAGAAGAAAGTATAACACCCGCTTTTCTCTTTTGAGGCTCTTTCACGTGTAAAACCTCCATATCCGATCTTATTTCAACCTTCAATTCCTCTGGTGTTATTTTCTTGATTGGTTTTGATTTTGCCTTCATTATGTTTGGAAGTGTCGCGTATCTTGGTTGATTTAGCCTTAAATCGGTTCTGTGTGACAAAAAAAAAAAATATATTTCTTTTGAATCATCAACGTTTTATTGATGTGATTTATAAAGCTCGAGTGGTTAATTTGTTGTTACCTTTTTACTTAATGAACTTAATCGGGGTTGTTTCTTTTTGAGTTAATCCAGTCTTCTAATGGTAAGATTAATAAATATTGTTAAATTTGGTCAGGGGTAAAATTGTCATTTAGTTATGTTTCAATGGTTTATACGGTCTTGAATAAGTACACATCACTTTATCCATATAAATATTATTAATCGTTCACTCTTTAATGATAAAATGTGATGACGAATAATATTTTGCATCGCTTCTAGAAAGAAGGGTAAAATGGTCACTTTATATATCACTTACCGACATGCAAACACCATTTATCCATTCAATACAATGGTTTATCTTTCTACATTGCCATTTTCATGATTGATTATCGTTACGAATTAAAGTAAGTTTTAGGGTTAATCTAAAAAAAATTATATTTTGCGTTTTTTTCAGATTAAACCTCAAATTAATTTTTTGTCTAAAAAAGACCTTCTATCTTTCATTTTTTTCCGAAAAAGCACTCAACTTTGTATTTTTTTTTCGAAAAAAACCCTCAACCTTCTAAATGTTTCCAAATAAACCCTCTACCTTTTTAGTTTTTCTCAAAAAAACCCTCATATTTGACAATTTTTTTGGAAAAAAAAAATGACGAAAAGAGCCAAATCAAAAGAATGAAAAAATACAACGTCTTTTTTAAGCACTTTTTTTTGAGGTTTAATCCGTAAAAAACACAAAATATAAAATATTTTTTTAAATTAACCCTAAGTTTTAACCCCATTTTCTCAAGAATAATTGGTTAGAAAAAATAATTACTATAAAATATGTGAGAAAAGAATAAATATTTACGTGATAACCGCAGGTAAATCCAAACACAAAGTTTCAAGGCCACCATCCACCTCTCTATCAACTGTTGCTACATTCTTCTCTTTGTCAAAAACAACCTTGAGAACACAAAAACAAACCAATACTCATATGTATAAATAAACGTTATTAAAAATAGGGGTAGGCATGTAATTTTACCATAAACACACATCCAAACACCCCTAAGTAGCATTACGTATTTACGTTTCTATTATATTTCTATATCAACTATGAACTATGAATCTTTTATGTAAAGGAAGAAAGAAAATGAAAGAAGAAACTTGTAAAGATTCAAATTAAAAATGCATATAGTGTTAAAATTTATAAAAAATTACGAATGTTTATACTTAAAACGACACTAACCTTAGAAGCAAATGTCCCTTGTGGCCAGTTTAGAAGCCCAGCCACCATTTGACCTGTTTGATTGCAATCATCATCAATCGCCTACACATTTTTCATCATGTCAAAGTTAGTGAATCGAAGGCTACTCAAGAAATAAGAAAGCACACAATTCTGATTCAAGATAATCAAACTTTCGTTCTTTCTATCAAAGTCGCAATAACCAGTTTCAGAACTCTGATCCAAAGATTCAATCAAGAGAAAACCAACAAATTGATTCAATTGAAAAGGCGAATTTGGAGAAATGACCTGTTTGCCAAGAATTAGAAGCCCAGGCTTTTCAACATCGACAAGCGCTTTGAGGATCTTAGCGATTGAAAGTGGGAATAGGGTAGATGGTGCATCGACGTGAATCGCACGATCGGCGCCCATGGCTAGGCCGGTTCGGAGAGTGTCGACGCACTGAGCTGGGCCGATACTTACAGCAATCACCTCTGAAGCAAGTTTGGATTCCTTGATCTTAAGAGCTTCTTCAAGAGCTATTTCGCAAAAAGGGTTCATCGACATCTTCACATTTGATGTCTCTACTCCAGTCTATACATAACATCTTGAACTAAATCAAATGAAAAGGAAATCCCTAATTTTGGGGAAATTGAGGATTTGGGTTTTAGGGGTTTTGGAATCTGAGGAGTTTACCTTGTCGGATTTGATTCGGATCTTCACGGCGTAGTCAACTACACGCTTTATAGCCACCATGATCTTCATGTTTGTTGGTTTTGTGTATCGATTCGTCCCCGATTCTCCGATGCCTGGAATTATTTGTAGAACCCGTCACGAAATCAAAAACTATAAATACTACAACAAGCATCTTTCGTCTTTTATACCTTGTCAATGTAAATCCGATAATCTTGAAACTTGAAAGCAATTTATTTTAATACTTTTATCGATGAACGTTTAAGATAGATTAATTACTATATAAATATGATTCAGCGTCTAGGGTTTGACTAAAATCGAACTAAACACGAGCCAGTAATGTAATTTGGTTTACATTATAATCAGATAAGATAGCATTACTCCCAAGTGTTTTCTTTTTCCTAATTGGTCCACAGGCATACCTCGTGCAAGTAAGTTGTATGGTTTTTTTAGAAGGAATTATTATAACCTAATTATAAGTAAGTACTTAATCATTTTTTAGCTAAAAATTAGAAATTGTTTTAAAATAGCCCATGAAACCATCTGCAACCTTATGAAGACACTATCTGATGATGTTGGTGTTTCTTGATGTAGACTCCTTCTGAAGGATGCCTCTACTCTGTCTCATAGCTTCAACATCGGGATTGTTTAACATATTTTGAACTAACTTCGTGATACCACCATCTTTTCCCCACATATCCAGAGATTTCAGGATGAAGCTTTGCTGTAAGGATTTTCTATTCTCAAACCTACATTCTTGTTTATTTTTGGGTCTAAACACCTGCAGTGTGTAGCGAGGAAGAAGTAACAAACACATCCATGCCTCAACCGAGCCAGGTTATGCAATCACCTTATCAGAGCAGTCTTCAAAGCCTGAGAGAAAGGAAGGCGACAACTATGGGGAATACTGTTGACAGTAGTGATAGACTCTTTAAAAACACGATCAAGGAGCGCAACATCAAAAACCAAACCTCCAAGAGCATTTGTCACCGACTCTTTAGTTGATGGCTTTAGAATACCGACAATGTAACGACTCGAGCCGTCATCCCCTGTAACAAACCTTGCCCAACCATCTTGGTGATGACAGTAACGGCTAAGAGCCTGCAAAGTCATACACTTCTCAGACATCCATTGACCAAAGGCCTTCAAAGTTTCTTCCGCTGTCGTAAATAAACCAACATCACTAGAAAGAGCTTCACGTAACACACATTTACTGTCTTCAGTAGGTAAATGATGTCTTTTGATGTGTGAAATTATACAGCCAATCCCCTTACTTCCCAAATAACCATTTGGGCAACTGGATTTAAATAACCAATTATCTAGTAATTTTTTCTTTTTTCGAGATTAATACAAAAAGATTTGCAACAATTATTCAACTTTACTCATATACATGTATTATTAAAACAATAAATAAAAATATAGAACACCAATACAAAAAATAAATAGTATTAGAAAACTAAAATTTATAAGAATAAATATATATAAAGTTGAGTTGTTTTTTCTTTTATTGAGCTCGTACTGTATATAAAAAAACGTATTTTAACCAATACCTAATTTAGAAAATACTTTCAAAGTCAATAACAATATAGATCATATGGTCACTCATGGTAAAACTGTTGAAATCTTAAGCACACAAAAGAAAATCACCCACCCACTAGATTTTTCCTCATTGTATCAAAGCCCAATATTTAGAAATTGGACAAATACAGCCCAATGGTCTTAGCTAAGCCGGAATATCTTCTTAAAAAACTAAGCTAATTTCGGGCTCCTTTTTAATATTTTGGGACTCCCAACACATTAATAGTGTGGTAGAGGTGTTCAAACCAGATGTTTATTATTATTATTATTATTATTTTTATATGGGATTGTTTTTTCGTTTTTTTATTGTTTTTTTTTTTTTTCATACTGATGCAAATTACGGTTGTTTTTGGCACAAAGCTTTTGGAAGCGTTTGGGTGCTTTTAGTTTTTGTCTTTTGATAAAACGCTCTAGTTTAAACAAAAAGTTTCGTTTGACATTACGAACGTTTAACTTTTAGTTTTAACAAAACGCTCCGATTCTAAAAGTTACTTCATGTAGCGTTTAACAAAATGTTTCTGAGCTTTTGAAATCAATTTCCATAATTACCCTTAAAAATATATTTATATATTTATTTATTTTTAATCAATTGTTCTTTTATGTAATTTTATATTTTTTCAAAAGCTCCAGCTACTTTTGTCAAACATTCATATAATAAATAAAAACTATAACTTCCCGCTACCAGCTACCTGCTACACGCTACCAGCTACCCGCTACCGGCTAACCGCTACCAACTTCCAACTAACAGTTACTTTTGTCAAATACGCCCTATATATTTCTGAATGAAGATTAGTTCCATTCACGACTATTGGATCTATCTTAACTTTCAATTTTAATATTTTAAAGTCATTATTTACGGTTATACTAGAAGGTTCTCTTTCCCTTCTAGGTTCGAGCCGATGGCTCCCCCACCTCCAATGTTCTTCCGTTGTTCCTTCGAACTTTGTTTCTTTAGACCTATAACTCCTCCACAACTTCCTACCCATGTCTCTGCCTTTCCCTATAAATGTCTTCCCATATCACATATCACAGTCTCAAACTCCCCAAACCGCTTCTTTCTAGATGATTGTTACATATATGTTTATCTCACAATAATCTATATATTGTAACAACGTAAAATTTCCAATTTAATTTTTCATTTTTAAACCACAAAATGTATATCATATCATAATCTCAAATCCATAACAACATTGTTTTGAAAACAAATCCCAAGATCTCTCTAGCATGAACTCCATCGGTGTGGGTGTGTACATTTTAAGCCGTCGCCTTCTGACGGTCATCGCTGGTACCTGAGACATCAAACACAACAACTGTAAGCATAAATGCTTAGTGAGTTCCCCAAAATACCACATATCACAAATACGCCGACCCTCCGGTTAAGATGTCTCAGCGGGACCCTCCAGTCCTGCAACTCGTTGGACCCTCCGGTCCCGTCATAGCTCATTGGGCCCTCTGGCCCGGTCTGAATCGTTGGACCCTCCGGCCCAGTCTATATAATCATACCGCATACAACTAACACATAGATCGAAATCACATAATCTCATACATAGCACATAAGACCCTCTGGTCAACTCGAAATACCACTCAAGGTAACGTATAGTGAGAAGACTCACCTCGCGTATCTCGGAATCACTAGTGCTCGATCTCCCGAGATATTGTCCTCCTAAAACACAAGCATATCTCTACTTAATACCACCTTGACCCTGGCTGATTAACACTACGAAGTCAAACTAGTCAACTCTGGACAACGGTCAACGGTTAACGGTTGACCCGACTCGCCGAGTCTGGTGTGGACTCACCGAGTCTGGGAGTGGACTCGTAGTCACTGAACAACCCGCACCAACTCGCCGAGTCTGGGAGTGGACTCGGCGAGTGCATTCCATGCACAACCCCAAACGACCTTCTGAGGTCAGATCCACTCTACTAACTCATAGATCCAGTCCCCTTAAGCTTATTGACCACGTAAAGTCCAAGTCTTAGTGCTCAATAAGCATCAAATAACTCATTAATGGTGTTTTAGCCTCAAATACATTGATCCCAAACAAAAACCCCCATAGATGCATATAAAGCTTGGGCAAAGAGGTGCTTTGGACCCCTATGGGTCCAGATCCAGAACCTTAACTCCCTAAGGGACCATGAGGATACTAGATCTAGCCACAAATGGGTTCAAAAGCCCTAAATCTGTATGAACATCACAATAACAGAGAAGGATTCGGAAAGGTACCTCAGTTGTGATGTCCTGGACCTCAGTTCTTCAAGAATCCACCCCTCTCTTGCTTCCTCTTGGCTAGATCTCCTCTTTCCTTGCTAGGCAATAACTCCAAGATCAACAATGGCTCCTTCCCTCACTTGAATCACTCAAACGCTCTAGGATCTCACTCAGGGGACTGATGAGCGCAAATTATGGCCATAAGGCCCTTTAAATAGGCCTCAAACCCGAGAAATTAGGGTTTCATTAAACAGCGCAGACTCGCCGAGTCCACCAAGGCGGCTCGCCGAGTCCGGGCATCAATCCGGGTGAGAAATCGCGTCTCAACTCGGCAAGTCTACGCACCAACTCGCCGAGTTCTTCCACATACTCAAAATAAAAAGAATAATTAATATACCTGAAATCTCGGATGTTACATATATTATTGAAGTTTCAAGAAATGCATGTATGTTCAATAATTAAGCTATCTATTGATGTAAATTTCCTTATTTGATTTCTTGCTTGGAAATAAGAAAAGAACACTTTTTAATGTTTGAACAAACATACATTGCTTTTGTAAAGTCCATTAATCAATTTGATATCATTTTGCAACAAAACTCATTAAAAGAAGTAAAACAAACTTGTTTATTACATTTCTTTTTACTAAAGATGCTTTTACATCAATATTTTATATATTAATTGCTTAAATAATTAGATTTTATTTTTTAACAATGAACTGATTTTTGACAGATAATAGTCTATATGTTATTGGAAACGGTTAATCTATTAAAGATTGATGTATTTTCGGCTGAATGAAAATTTTTTTCTCACCCCTCCACCAGACGATGATATTCTTTATACTTCTAGGAGATATCAAGGAAAGTTGGGAATTGCTTGTTAACGTGAGGATGGTTTTTGGCTTCATACCACTCATGACTTGTCGGTGCTTTTGAAATTATATAATAAAATTGAGTTTGCACATTAGTCATAGGATTAATGTAACAATGTACTTTAATTTTATAGAGAAAATGATGTTATAAGGGTTATCTTGGTTCATGGATACTATAAAATATTTTGCTTTCAGTTAAATTTTACCTAATATTATGATGTTTAACACTTTCTTTTATATATATATGCTCTTTACAATTTATCTTTGCATTAGATAGGCCTTCCGTTACTTATCTAAAAATTTTAGTTAATAAGTTAAAAACTACAATCATTTGGTAAATATTTTTTACCAATACTATATTTAAGTTAAAAACTATAGAAAAAATATGAACGTTGCTCCAAATGCATTGTCTACAAAAAAAAAAAACTTTATGAATGACATAACTATAATTAGGTAGATTTGTCATAATAGAAGGGTATAATGGAAACAAATGAAAGTAAGATTCTATAAAAGAAAGTAAAATAAATATTTTTTTTACATTGGTCAACCCCATACTGGTATAATGGCAGTTGGTTTTGGTCAAAACCAATTTATAATCGACTTTTTGGTGTAAATTGTTTGAACTTACGTAATTTGAACTAAAACCGGTTTTAAAGTCCACTTTGGAAAACCGTATTGTTGCTATTCTTTTAGAAGTTGATCTAAGTATTATAACATAAAGAAACTTACATGATTGATAAAATATAGACCA